GATGTCACTCTCTCCCCTGGATCATTTTTCTTTACTTTCTCCATGAAAATTGGGACAGTTTTCCCAAACTATCGAGAACCTCACGGAATAAAGGAGAACTCATAAACTCAGGAGCACTGAAACCTAACTTTAAGCCTACAGTTTTGACCTTCAGAATCTAGTTCACCTCCAGTATCCACCCCCAATGACTGACTTTCTCATCGCTGTCTCACTTTGTAGCTGACATGTATCCTCTTGACTGCCCAGTCATACCAACCTCCTTCAGATACAGCCTGCATCGTTCTGCATCTGAGCCACACTGCCTCCCTGTGATGACTCCATTTTCTTCTGCAAAAACCCTTTAAAAATCCCTTTTCTGGGACTCCTTACAACACCATTAGGTTCCTCTCACCCAAGTGATCCCTTGAAACTTTATGTTGATATATTTATTATATCTTGTGTTTTCCTGTTGGCTGCAGATGCTAAACTCCTTAATTGCAGACTCTTCCCTGCTCCCCAAGGGGAAAAAAAAACAAAAAAAAAAACAAAGTGTTATAAAGTGCTTTGCATTTTCGTAGGTAAATAAATACATACGGACATTTGAGGTTCTGAAATTCCTCTTTATTTAAGAACACTATAAAATGAAAGAATTTTGAAATGAGAAGAAATAGCCCATCGTTCCACTGCCTTGACATGACTTTCATATGTGTATATTCCCTTCGTCTGTATACAATTTGACTACGTACAGTCTGTACCCTGTTTTACTCAGGTATAATTTTACGTACAACGCGACGCTTGGTGCTCCATTGGTTTTGACAAACGCATACACTGATGTAAGCCGCACCCTTACTGAGGCTTAGCGCATTTCTTTCGCCTCAGAAAATTCCCTCATGCCCCTCCTAGTGGGCTCCTGATCTCCCAGAGGCAAACACTGATCTGATTTTTATCACCCTGGGTTACATTTGTCTTTTCTGGAATTTTATGTAAATGGAAGCATACAGTATGTTCTTTTTTGCATCTGACTTCTTTTATGCAGCTTAATGCTTTTGAGATCCAACCACGTTACCATATGTATATGCTCTGATCTTTTAAAATTACCATGTCAAAGGCTTTTCCATATTGCCCCACGGTCTTCACTATGATCATGTGTAATGACCACAGGAAAGCCCGCCAAGTGAACGCACCATAATTTGACTTACACCCT